GGTTTTTGTGTTTATGGCTTGAATCAAAAGATTATATGGGTTTCGAGCTCAGATTATGGTGTTTTTTGAGGTTATGGCGGAACCCCGACCCGATAGGGTTTAATGGACCTCGGATTTGGATTCAGCGACCCCAAAAACGTATAATAAACATGGTCTGATCCCCAGGCCAAAGAAATTTTTTTTTTTTTTTTTTTTTTTTTTTTCGCTAAAATTTTTTTTTTTTTTTTTTTTTTTTTTGTGTGGTTGTGTAATTTATATTAAGGAGCAACACCGTAACATACAACCATCAGTTCGCAATCGATAATATCGCTGACATCAAAACAACCGCTCTGTGCGACAGCAGTTGCAAAGCTCGCGGGATCCGATGTTTCAGACAAGATCGTGAAATACCGCGACAATCTGTCTCGCACGCGAACAACAACGTTGTTCAAGTAGGCAATGATGCATGCCACGCAATGTTTTAAGTTGAACAAGTTGCACATCGATTGGTGGGAAAGTAATATGCGACTGGTTTTTGTAGACAGACGTATGATCCTCGCGGTGTTTATCAAGCTGAACGAAACCGCTAGATCGCCGACAAGAATCGACGGTTGCGCAGTTCGCGTATAAAAATAAATAGCGCGCAGTTTGTAATTGCGCAGCAAATAAATAAAAATTCCGAGATAAACCGCAATTTCCCGGAAATAAATAATTTTGAGAAAAACCGCAAAGTTCCCAGAAGCGGTTCGCGTTTAAAAATAAATAGCGCGCAGTAGGAAAATACGCAGCAAATAAATAAAAATTTTTCAAGAAAAACCACAGTTTCTCGGAAGTGAGTCTTTTCTTATCGCCGAAGCGATCAGTAACTTCCGGGTTGATGACGCACATCCTACGATAACGTCCGCGTGAAAAACCGTTGCGTACCGGATGTGGTGTTTTTGAAACGCAATTTCAAACCTAAAGATTTTGAGGAAAGATAAGGAGTGAAATAAAAAGACGCCTCGAGGTTGGGAACGAGTCACAAATCATTTTGATCGCAAGTCGTATAGATAACAAGTCGCCGCTGTTGTTGAAAATGTTTAACAGATTGAACACAACAAGCATATTAAACCTATCGATCGAAGAGTTGAAAAACATTCCAAAGAGGATTCTTTTAGAAGTGTTCAATAATCACGTGGAGCTTTTGTGGGATCGACTGCCTGAGCATTTGAAGGAAGATCCTGAGGTGCAGCTGTATCGCAGATGTCTCGAGCAGTACAATCAACCAGGAGATTACAATTACATTGACGGACCTGCTCCGCTAAAAAAATTTGTCGCGTGTGTATTGCGAAAGCCACGATGAAAAATCAAGAATGAATCGGATCAGACAAACGAAATCGCTTCAGTTCCTAGCTGCGAAAACAGTAGCAAAACACGTAGACGAGTACATTGAAATACACAAACTTGAAATTCCTAAAGTGTGCAAGGACGCAATACGAGAGATCTGGTTCTCGATGTACGGCTCTATCGCTACGATCGCGTTATACATTGGTTATCGGTGCACGATCTACCTGAGGAACAAGTATGGGAAGTGGAAAACAATTTCGACGAAGAGGACTTTAAAATCTTGCAACTATCCGCGCTCGCAATTAGAGAATACGATTGGCTTCCAAGGTACGTCGAGACTGTCAATCACATCGAAATCGCGTACATCGAGTTTAGAACGAGTTGCGCGGATCTGAAACATCTGTCTCGCTTGTGCATTCGATGCGCGTTGTGAGTGTGGGAGTGGGGTAAGCAACAACATCGGTACAAGTGGTTGCAGAATAAGTGGGTAAAAGTCACCGGACATCAAATGATCCAAGACGCTGATTTCATGACAGATGTTATATAGAATCCAAAGCGATGGTGTTCCAACCGCTACAAACGACCGTTGTTTGTTTTGTATACAGAGGATGATTGTTACCGAGTGGAACAAGGATACATCCCCCGATGATGATGACTATGAGCAACTACTGGATGTGAAAAGATAAAAAGCGTAAATTGAATCCAACAAATATATACGATCCAATAATACTTTTGTGAGTAAACAATTATATATATATTGTATATATATATATATGAGCAAAAGCAAAAGACAAAACATGAACGATCGCGAACCGCTCGAAGAAGAGGCCGCGCTCCTCGACGCGTTGGACNATTACATCTCGTGGGAGGAACGGTGCGACGAACGTCTAGAGACAATGAGAGAAGAGTGCAGTAGAAAACGCCCGCGACCGTCCATAGGTGTGATAACTTGGCACGTCGCTCGTATTGCGCGACTCGAAAGTTTGCGCGCAACCCTCCGCGAACGATTCGCGCACGTGGGCGCGGGTGTCGAGAGTGCGGGACTCGCATGGATCGAAGTCGAGACAGCGTTTAAAAATCGTTTGGTGACCGGTATTGTGGTGAACAAATCGTTCATCGAGCCCCGTCGATTTCTCGAAGCCGCTAGAGACACGGTGCTCGCGCGCGTTCATCGAGCGATAGAGCGGCACGCTAGCATGAAAGTGAACACAGTGTTCAACGGGAAGTTTGTCGCGGGTGAAAAAACTAGTGTAAAATCGTTCAATACACACAATTGCGCATTGTATCACTCGTCGGATCTGCGCGAGTGGTACAATCGAGATGTGATGGATGCAACAATGATCACTCTGGAGGAGTTCCAGGAACACGACAGCGGCTGGGCGTTGACGCAGATACTGAACCTCACAGTGAACGTGAACAGTCACAATCCGATGCGCGCGGGATGTCAGATTAAAATGCCACGCGAGGTTCAGCTCAAACACGCGGTAGTGAACGTACAATCGCGGGACAATGCGTGTTTCGCGTGGGCAGTGGTCGCTGCGTTGTATCCTAGTAACAAAAACTCTAATCGAGTGTCACAATACCCCGCGTACGCGAGTGTGTTGAACCTTGATGGAATAGAGTTTCCAATGACATTGCGCCAAATCGCGGGTTTCGAACGCAACAACAACGTGTCCGTAAACGTGTTCACGGCGGCGGAACAGGGACATGGATACGTGCCGCTGCATCTCACATCGAACAAGAAGGAGAAGCATGTGAATCTGCTGTATGTTCCCGATCAACACAACGGACGCGTGAGACACTTCGCGTGGATAAAAAATATATCGCGATTAGTCAGCTCGCAGTTGAGCAAGACAAAACAAATAAAATACATATGCGACCGGTAAGTACAAACAATTGGTGTAACAGTAACAACAATGTTGAATTAAAAAATGACTTTTTAAATTGTGAGAAGGGAAATACATTAATCATTGTAGTGTATTGTTTTTTTATTACAACACGTACATAGATGTCTACACTACTTCTACACGAGCGATAAGCTGGCGGTACACACCGTGGATTGCGAACAATTGAACAACAACGCGTCGTTCTTCCCGCTGAGAGAAAGAACCGTTTGAGATTTGAGAATTACAACAACAAGGAATGGGTTCCAATTGTGGTGTACGCCGACTTGGAGTGCGTACTCGAGAAACAGGACAAAGAGGAGAACGCATCGAGTGCGCACAAGTACCAAAAACACAGTGTATTCAACATTGGTTATTACGCGAACTGCGAGCACATTGACATTGGATATAGATCGCATAGAGGAGAGAACTGTGTGCGGTGGTTCGTAAACGAACTGCACGATCTCGCGAAACGAGCAAAGACCTTGTTCGCGACAAATGTGCCCATAGCGAATCTCACACCGGTGGAGCTCGAGCTGTTTAGGAACGCTAAGTGTTGCCACGTTTGCGGACAACCGTTCGAGCGAGATGACACGAGAGAGCGCGATCACTGTCATCTGACGGGACGCTTCAAAGGACCCGCGCACTCTGCAAACTGAATTACAAACAAGTCTATGTTGTTCCCGTTGTGTTCCACAACTTATCGGGATACGACGCGCATTTTATTATCAAGGATGTGGCAACCGCTTTCGAGGGTGAGATCAACGTGCTGTCCGTGACAAAAGAGACCTACATATCGTTCACGAAACATGTGAGCAGTACTCGAGATGAAGACAATCAGAAGTGTGTGCAACTGCGGTTCATCGATTCGTACAAATTTCTGAGCACAAGCTTAGAAAAGCTCGCGTCCTATCTCGACAAGAGCAAACTGCGAGTGACTAGAACGGAATTCAGCGATCTCTCCACCGAGGACTTCGAACTGCTCACGCGAAAAGGTGTGTTTCCATACGAATATGTGGACAGCGTCGACAAATTGTTGGAAACAAGTTTGCCACCACGCGAGGTGTTTTACAGTTCGCTGACCGGTGAGACTGTGACGGAGAGCGAGTACGCGCACGCGACGAACGTCTGGCAACAATTCAACATCAACAATTTGGGATCATACAGCGACCTGTATCTGAAGACAGACGTACTCTTGCTGGCCGATGTATTCGAAAATTTCCGTCGCGAGTGCCTCACGAGTTACGGACTGGATCCCGCGCACTACTACACGCTGCCGGGATATACATGGGACGCCATGTTGAAGCACACTCGTGTGACGTTCGAGCTGCTGACCGACATCGACATGATGATGTTTGTGGAACGCGGCATACGCGGCGGTCTGAGTCAATGTTCGAACAGATACGCCCGCGCCAACAACAGGTACGCGCAATCGTACGATCTATCCGAACCGACGTCGTATCTGATGTACTGCAACGTTAACAATCTCTATGAATGGGCGATGTGTCAACCGCTTCCATATGGTAACTTTGCGTGGGTGGAGAACGCGTACGAGTTCGACGTGACAACTGTAGCAGCGGACAGCGATGTTGGCTACATACTCGAGGTCGATCTGACATATCCAAAAGAACTGCATGACGCGCACAGAGATCTACCTTTTTGTCCGACGCGCGAGGAACCACCTGGTAAACATAGAAAGAATCACATCAAACTGCTCGCCACAGTGTTCAACAAGAAGCGATATGTGATTCACTACCTCAACCTGCAGCAGTGTCTGCGACATGGGCTTCGTCTGACACGAATACATCGAGTACTGCGGTTCTCGCAATCACCTTGGCTGCGCGGATACATCAAACTGAATACCCGATTCCGCGCGAACACCACCAACGAGTTTACAAAGAACTATAAAATTATAGAAAGGCAGTTAGGAGTTCAAAAGCACAGTTGTTGTTGTGTATGGATATAATAATGCTGTCCTTTATTTGATAGTTTTAAAGTTGACGTTTTGACCATGGTTTTTAGTCTTTATCAAAACTGTTCTACATAATTGATTACAACAATTTTAGACAAAATTAATATATGGTAATACCATTAACAAAAGTTATGAAAAAAGGAAAATACACAATGTGAAAAATATTTGTTAACTTACAGACGTATGCTGTTCTTAAAAACGCCGATCAAGATACAAAATAAAGATGTTATGTGGTAGTGATCTCAGAACAAGAGTTGTAACTCAACTGAATAAAATTTAAAAAGAC